TTGATTGCCTTGAAAAGAGGTAAACATAGTTTAAGACTAATTAGTTATACTTACCTTTATCAAGGTGATCAGTTTCCTAAATTTGTTTTAAAAGTAAGATCAGCTTGAATCACCCGACTAGATTTCGCAGCTTTCCCACATTTCTTGATCACAAATGTACCTTTTATGTAAAACTGTTTTGCAGGGCAAATAGTAAATACTGTCCTTTCATGTGTCAAATCTGACCAAAACCTCTCCATTTTGTCTCTAACATTCCAAAGGATAACCTTTGTAATCTCACTAAGCTCATAACAAACTTTTAAAAAACACACTAACAACCACTAACTGAGAGAAAGTCAACTTGGTATGAAAAAATGCAAATATGAAACAGTGTTGTCCATTTCTCACATACGAATTTCTTAGTTTGGGTAACCTCACTATTCACTGTATAACATCATAAAGGGGTTTCGTTACTTTGACTCCGCTTTTCTAGTTCACTGAACGCAAAATTCAATGTGTTTTGCCAATATCTAGTTAATTCAACTCAAAATATCTCTTTTTTCCAGACCACGTAAGAATTTAATAGCAGGTTTTGAACAGAAAAAAGCAGATTTCCCAGGATGCATTGTTAGTGGGTTAAAATTCCTTTGAGACTTTAGTGGTTTTTATAGTTGTAGAAAACAGACATGGTGGAAGACGTGGTGTGTCTTTTTCCAAAATTAGGTCATGGTTGGTTCTTTTCATAATAAAACATTTCAAACCAATTCAACTTAACATTTTGATGTCACTGAACATGTTTTCTTAGTTTCAAGTAATTAACGCAGGTAGTTTTACAAAACATAAAATAGCAAGATGAAGTGCAGTTAACATGACAAACGATTCAAATGATTTACAACATACTATTTATAGACATCATCTGCTTGGCATGCCCTCCAGTCTTTGTCTAATGTTTTATAATGTGTATCTTTTGTTTTGAGGTAATGCAGTTAGTCAGAATTATTTGCCATAAAGACTACAGGGCCTCTTGGCTTATTGGGAACTACTACAGCCTAAAGGCCTCAGAATAATCACCTACCTTTCAACACATGTACAAGCAAAAACAAAATATCACCTGCTCCTGTAATGCTCTGAGCTCATACTAGCACCATTTGGGACCTCAGCAGTTTATGCTATTGAACAATTCCCCATATGAGCATTAATCTTCACCTGTTATCTGGCTGTTAGTTTTACCTTCAAAGATATTTTCATGATCCATCAGATGTCCATTTTCTTCTTGGAAAGGTTGACTAATTTTGGCAGACTGAGGTCACAGATGGGGCTATGCTTCCATCTACCTGACACAGAGTTACATGCTGAATGTTAAAGGTGAGCTTACATTTGTGTACTGTTTTGTCATGCTTCTCAATCCCAGTTAAACCCCCTCCCCTCAACATCTTTCTGCTATCACCATTCACCATCTGTAAAGCATGCAAGGTCAGATTTTTCAATGCTACAAGCTGTGCCTTTTAGTGTTGCCATTCTGCACAGGTTCAAAACACAAAGTAGGTCAGTTTAAACAATGCACCAAAGTCACTCAGATGTCCTGCAAGGTGCAACAACAAAAAAGTATACAAGGCAGCAGGTTTGCAGCATTATTTGTGAGTTTTTTTCAGAGCAGTCAATCTTAGCAGAAACCTGAGTTCACCTCCAACTCACCTGTAATTTAAACACCTCCTTCCTTGGATTTCTTGAATCATGTTTATGCTAAAGTTGTGTACTTCCCCTGATTGATGTCCTGTTTAAAGGCACAGCGTGAGCCCATGTGAAGCAGTTTTTAAAACAAATGTTTTTCTGACCTTCTTTGTGGGTCCTACTGCAACAAAAGGTCACCTCACTGAAAAGCGTTTGTGTCTTTTGCCGCAATTGATATATTCTAACACTTCAGTGTGTGGCTATCAATCACTGGCCCACATTGTGACTGACTGGATTGCTGTTTGCTCTCACTGCTGTTGATGGTCAAGTTGAGGCAACGCTCTATCAAGTTTGTTGGCACTGTGTAGACCTTCCAGACTAGAATTTCAAAGGAGTTCCACAATAAAAAGGGAGAGATTGTACAATCTAGCTGCCAATAGGCAATGAATATGTTGCCTACAAGAACAAGTTTACCGTTATTTATACAGTGTTTGTCTGTCTGTTGTGTCACCTTGTTATACGATATGTCAGAGGAGTTAAATCTGCTCCATCTGTGCAGAGATCAGGACTACAGAATGCATTTTATGATGGTAAATCTGCCATCTTACAGTAACAAAGCAGAGAACACAAATTTTGGGCAGAAGCAATAACTGTTTGTCGTTGCTTTTCATGCAGGAACTGGTGCAGTAAAACCATGGGCAAGACGGGGAGTAAAGTTCTCAGAGAAGCCTCGGTGGACGGGGTTCCAGCACAGGTAGAAGCTGCCACCTCATACATGTATAGCTGTGCAAACTCCTGCATGCACACGCACAAACACATGCAGAGAAACTGGATAGTAAATACACAAACTGTATTAAAAACACATTAAACTGATGTGATGGTATATAGGTGTGTGTGCGTTTAGCAATGTGCACATGCTGGTAAAATGCGCCAGCTGCTGTGCTCTCTGGCTGTTATGCAACCAGGATCAGTTGCAGCTTGCTTTCACACTTTCTTTTTTTCCACATTGCATCATCACACCTATAATCATCAAAATACATTACTGAGCTTTGGACAAACTATTTCAGCGATGGCTATCCAGTGATTAAGCAGGCTAAAAGTCACTGGATGTACTCAGTGATGGATGGAAACTGTTTATCTTTATGTAAAGTGTGCACTAGAAGTAGATAAATGAAATCTTCTACCAGATTCATAACATTTTGTGACAGTAACTTATCTGTAAATTCAAGTGAGAAACATTTCTAGATAAGATAACCACTTTTTTTTTTACGATCGCACACCAAAGATTACATTTTTTACCTTTGGTGCACAAGATAAAAAATACAGTCTTTCAGTACTCGAGCCCCTGTTCTGTAACTTAAAGTGCTTGTTTCTTTCCCCTCAACCTAAAGCTGAGTTTAAACCTATTCAGGAATTTCATGTTGCCATATGTAGAAGGTCTTTCAGGGTCCATTGGAGCCCAAGAAAGAATATGTACAAAATATTCGTTGGTATTCATTATAGACTTTTATACTATGTTAAATACATATTTTAAAAAGTTGACCTATTTTTTGGTTCCAAATGCATGATAAATGTCCCCTTTTTATATTAAAAAATAAATAAATCTTCAGAAATAAGAAGAACAATACCTGTCACCTAAACCAAATGGCCTGGGGTCCAAAAGACCCCAAAAGTCCTGAATAGACATAATCATATTACAGTATGTAGCTTACACAAATATCGTGTGGACGAGCCGTTTACATATACCGAACAGCAGTTAAACCCTTTAAATTAAAGATATTTGGATGTTCATATGCAGATTATTTTCTTCTTAGATTGAGCAGACATTTTTTAAAAAAGAAAACTGATCACTAAAAATTTACTTTTTTTTGCGATTTTTTGTGATTATTTATCACTCAAAGTAGAATTAAATTTTTCTGATGAGGATCTTAAAGCATTGAAAAGATTAAAAGGATAAATACTTAGAAAAAAAGATTATAGCAAAATCCATCATCTCATGGTATAGATTATCATATCACCCAACTCCGCTGCTGGGTAAGAAGATAAGAGGAGCAGCTTTAGCAACCAGAGACCTTTGTCAGGAATACAGGTGAGATCAAGTGACACTTTTAGTCATACAACCGGTCAATACACAAGCTGATAGAAGCTTTTTTGGTATTCCTGTTAATGTTAGCCAATAAGTAACGAGAGGAAAGAAAAGACAAAGATAATCCATCAGAGAGCTCTGACAAGTTCGTTTCTCAGCTCTAAAATGTCTCCCTTGGTACAAACCTTGGGGTTTTTTTTGTTTTTATTTTTTAAATAAATGATACTGGCTCATTGGCTTCAAAAACCCCTCTAGTCTCATGCTGTCAGAACATTCACCGACTGTTGTAGCATCTTTGTGCACTTTGTTTTTTGGCTGTCAGCGCTCACAGTGATGAAAATTGGAGTGCACGTTATCCTCATTATCTGAATTCCCCTCAGCATCCCAAATTGTCTGTCATTTCCTAACCCAGTTGATCTAAATTTGCTGCACCCAAGCGATAGTACCATTCAGCTCATGCTCTGGCTAAAAGGCGCACCCTAACACCCCATCTCGACTCATGTTGGCTGAGTGGGTGCCATCTTTGTCAGCTCATGCAGGCCGCTTGTGGGCTCCACAAGGCGAAGCTGGACTGAAGTGAATTGATTCACGAGGATTAGGGATTAAGATTTCCCCGGCCGCTTTGGTGGAGCAAATCTGGGGATTATGATGTCAACAGCCTGTGGCTGCTCGAGAGGAAATTGAATTGTGAGGGACGAGAGCGCCGATGGCCCAGGATTACAGCACAGTCAGTGAGAAATCAGAGATGGGAGTCCATGTCTGTGCCTTTCTCCTGCTCAGGACAACCTCCATGGGACACCATTCACGGCCTTTGGGGAGTAGGAATTGCTTATATAGTAGAACCAACTGGAAGTAAATGTTTAGGATGTTGATTGAGTGATAAGAAGCTTTCTGTGTCACTGGTAATCCTGGCCTGTGAAGCATCAGGTGGTGAGTACAGTTAAGTACAACAGGGATCTCTTTAACAATGAACAAGGGAATGGGGTTACTTTATTTGTTTTACAGCTGAAACCAGCTTGTAGAAGAATATTTAGTCTAGTCAAAGACTGTGAAAAACCACAAGTATGAGGAACTTTGTTTTGCTGAGTTTATAAGCTGACAGTTTTGCACATTCGGTGCTAATTTACCACGTGCTGTTGTGTTTGTGTGCCTGTCTGTTCTGAAGCCAACTCCTGCAGCGGCTGCTCCTGCTGCTGCTGCTGCTGCTGCTGCTGCTGCTCCTCCTGCTGCAGTCAAATTTGAAGGACTCACAAAAACCAACAAGATGAAGGTGAAATGGACCCAGCTGGGTTTGGTGTTCTTCCTGGTTTTGTCACTGGTGATGACAGGATGCTTCTTCTGGCAATATCAGCTGCCAAAAGTGCTGCCAGGTAAGACCAGCTCTGTTGGTGGCAGGTCATGGATCACATAGTGTGAGGGACTGCTGTGCAGTGATTAATGTTTTAAAGCTTAGCAGCTCTGTCTCAGCTCAACTTGATACTGGCTTTGAGAATTTTTTTTTTCAGGCCATCTCCAAGCAAATAAGCCAGAGCTGGAGACTTGGATTTAAGTCAAAATTATACAGTTTTAGTTTAATGTAGCATAGACTTAGACTATGAGATGTAACTTATTTGAAACTTCAGACTCCCTTTTGAGACTAGAGAGAAAAATGCTGTTTTTGAAAAGGTCAGTGCATGATACAGTTTTTCTTCATCATGCTGTGCGAGAGTATTACACTTCTCAGTTGTCTCAGTGCTGACTCACTTGAGACTCCCTTATGGGCTGACTCAAACCAGCTCTGTCAAAATCTGAGTGATGAGCCTGAAATCACTGTGTTTTTTGCTGGATGAATGGCTCATTTAACGTGAAGCCAAGTGGCAATTTATAATTTCATAGTTTTGGTACAGGAGCCATACTTGTACAAAACAAGTAACTGATCTTAGTCACAACCAAATTAATTATTTGAATAAGCAGTGGGTCTCAATGTCTGTGCGACTGTGAATCTGTGCCACCCAGTTACTGCAGGTTATTTCTTGTTTACTACACTGAACACTGACTCATAGCTGTTAGCTCCCAGCTACAACTCCAAGTGCCCCCTCTTATCTGGTGTGACTGCAACGACACCCCACAACCCCAGGTCCTACTGCTACGATGATAATCAATACGTTATTTTCTTATAATTAAGAGATATGGATCTCATAATTAAGAGATAAGACAATCTCCTAATTACGATCTATATCTCATAATTATAGGATAAAGATGAAGTCTTAGCTAGTGGAAATATTAGCACAAAGCTGTTTCACTTGGTGATCGTGTGCATAATTGGCAGCATCATGACTACTTCAAGATCTAAGAAGGCAGTGTCAGGTAAAAATGGAGTTGGAACTCGACAGCAAGTTGGTCATTTTCTCAGATTTTGCAAGTTGTGTTTAAAAATGGATGAACAACAACAATATTCAAAATTGTGAAAAGAATGACAGTGAAATGTTTTTAATTGCTGTGTCTTAATCCCAGGAAACAGTGTTTACACCAAACACATGCCGAAATATGTCATCCTTCCAACTGTGCAAGATCATAGAGCACAGGTTTAATTTAAATATGCTGCCATATAATCACAGCACCTGTAAAGGCTCCAAGGTGTCATTTCTTCAAACAGAGCACAGAAATAAAATGCTTTATTCTCCAAAACATGGTTCTATATGAGTAAAGACACATCAGGTGATGTTATTCATGGGAAAAGCACATCCCCCTGGGCTCTCATTCATATTTTCTAATATGCACTGATGTATCTTTTTATATTCCAAAAAATTATTTTTTTTCTTGTGTATAGCACTTCATTAAAAATGCAACTAGTGGCCTGAGGCTATAATGAAACGTATTAAAATATCAATGTTAATGCATGAGTTCACAGCAGGACCAGGCCACATTTCTTTAGGTCAGCGACTTATATATCAAGCATCCTGTCAGAGTGTATCCCATAAATCCCATAAGATCAACGGGGTTCATTAGAAAGCAGAGAGATTCGATGACACTCCAAGCCAGTAAATTATACAGCATTATGCCTGCCTTTGTGTCATCCATACATAATTCTATCAAATATGAAGTGAGATTTACAATAGCCTGTCCCCCTGTGCTTCCTCTGCTTTTTCTTTCTTTCTTTCTCTTTTCTCATATCCCATCCACCACCCAGATGACGCGATGGGTCGCAACGCCAATTCGGAGATGATGTGTCCCCGCTTCCCTGAGCCTCTCCCACTGGAGCATCCTATTCCGAGTTTGAAAGAGGCACTAGAAAAGGTGAGAGAAGTTCATCGTGTACCGACTTAAATCTTCAGCAGTTTTTTTTTTTTCTGTCGTGCCCACTCAAGTCTGAGTAAATTTACAGGCTGCCTGGTAATCCTTCACACCAAATGTCGTTTCAGTGGACAGAAGGAGATTAAAGATATAGTGGATGGAAAGTGTCTGCCTGAGCAAAAGGTCGTGTTTCTATACCCGAGAAGCAGCACTTTAGCACTGTAAGAGTATCTGAGGATGTAGAGCCGAGGCTGCACATCAGTTATGAGGACATAACCGCAGTTAGCAAGGGAATGTGCAAATATGACTCATTCATTTGAAGCTTAGAAGAAATTTGCATGTTAAGTTTTAGTTTGTACCTTCCATCTTCTGACAAAAGCTTCTTGTTGATTTGTTTCCACTGTAGGGGTTGAGCTCCCACGAAAGGCCGCAAGATAAATCTGGGGGGTTGAGAAAGGATTAATGGGCTAGAAAAGACAAACAAGCAAAACATTTTCTGCTCCACAACATTTTATTCATATTTCATCCATTCCCTTGTACTGGCTTCTTGTAATATATTGGTTATTTTTACAGTTTGTACCTCAAACAGTTCTGAAACGTGATCTGATAACAGCAAACATCATTTTATCTAGGAATGAAAAAGCACCAATACACTAATGATGCAAGCTGCAAGCCATGTTCAAAGTTGTTTGATAGAATGATTTGGCATTCAGGGAATTTTTTTCACTTCTTCACCAACGTATGCATATGAAGCCACACTGTAAAGCTTTGCTTATCATGAGGACAGGAGGCAAGGAGAAGCAGCCAGCCTGTCCTTCTCTTAAGTTTCTCTTTCTTTCTACATATACATGCATTTAAACTGGAAATATTTTAGAGCTGACATTGTTTCTTCCAGGTGGACATTTTGCTTCGGCAGAGCGTTGATGCCGTCAGCCTTCCTGCTCTGTCGGCCATCGTGATCTTAAATGACACTGTTCTGTGGACTGGAAACTTTGGAAAGAGGAATGGCAGCGACCCTTTCTCAGGACCGCCGAACGAGTACACAATCTACAGGTGAGTGTGCTGTGCTGCAAACTTTATTAAATGACGCATAATCAGTTTAAGTGATTGAAGTCAGCAGGTTACTGGTGACATCTTAAGTACTTGGTTATTCTGGGCTTTAGCCAAGGTTAATAAAATAAGTAATGAATAGAAGTCCTCTCTGCCCTGCTGAAAAACAAAGACTACAGCTCTGTCAGGTATCCAATTGCTGTTGTTTGTAATTGTTAATTAAATGAAGCAGGTATTTTAAAGAACTTTCTGAAATTGAAAAGAACTTTTTGTATAAGTTTTTCCTAGTTATTACCAAATTACATACTTCCATCCAGGAAAAATCCCAGGAAAATATTTGAACACACTCCCAACATAAAGGTCTACATGCTGCTTTAAAGCCTGTTTTCTCTTTCAATATATCAGTAGTTTTCTCTATTTTGGCCTTAAAGCTGTCAGGTTTATTCTAAAAACAGTGAAAATAATGAAAAATATGTCTGTTTTCGAATGTGAACTCATCCTAAGCTTATGAAAAGTGTAAGAAAGGACATGACGTAATCGTCTGCAGTGTGATTCCCCATCAAACAGCTGATGTCTCCTTTCTTGTATCGGCCGTCTGTGAAATTTAACATTATGTAAAACACATTACTTCCTGTGCAGCAAGGGAAGCAATATGTTTCCATTATGGGCTGAACATTGTTGCATCATCTTGATTCATTGTAATGGGACCACCAGCTCTGCATATAGATATAATTCGACCAGCATATGTCTGCAATGCAGTCAAGTTCCCAACTTTGATTTGTAAATGATGGTGATCACGCACTCCTTGGTCTCCTTAGTGCTACATAAAACCAGTTGTAATTGGCACTGATAATTTTGACTGTAAGAGCAGGTTGTTTTGACAAAATAAACTTCTGAATTATAGTCAATAACTGCTGAATAACAAATGAACAAAAGAAGTAATTCACGAGAGAAGAGGCAGCTGTGGGTGCTAAAACCCCCCCAAAGATATAGGTCTTCTGACTATTCCATCTCAAATGAAAGAAAATCGAAAATAAAATCTTGCCTGACTGAGCTTTTGCCTCCTAAAACCTTAACACATGGCTAAAGACCCAGATTCTCTGGTGTGCTTGACACGAGGCCTTCAAAATCACACCCAGTGCAATCAATGCTACAAGAGGCACGGTGGTGAGTTGCTCACACCAAAATAACAGCTGCCCCACATAACAGTTCGGTATGTGTATTAGCACTACACTGAAGGTGTAATTGATATTTCTGAATCAGAGAGCCGTACTGGTTTGTGTCTGACTGTGTAAGTCAGGGAGGTACTCGGGCAATGTCTCAGCAGTGACTGTTACTGACAGGGAACCATAAAACCATCCATCCATCCATTAGCTGCACCAGTTCTGTTTAGTAGACAGTCAGGAGGGACGGAGCATTTTCCAGCTGACACTGGATGAAAGGCTGCAGACAGACAACCGTGCACACACACAGTAACATCTATGGCCAGTTTACAATATCTAGAATCACCAACTGGCTAAATACTGATTAATTATTCATTAGTATTATTAATATTAATAATAATTATTATTAAGTCTGTGAATTGAGTGAGGAAGCACCTGGAGAAAACCTTTGCAGGCACAGGGAGAACAATCGAACTCTGCACAGAAAAGCCTCTTGTTTAACGTTACAATGAAATGTGAAAACTGAGAATCAAGCACAACAGTGGTTCTTGAAGCTAAAAATGCTAACATCAGCATGCTAACATCCTGATGTTAAGTACGAATAATATTTACTGTGTTGACAATCTAGTTTCGTGCAGTAGTTTGCAAACATTTTTTAATCCAAAAACGCAGCTGTTGCTATTGAGTGCATGTCACCAAAACAACTTGAATTCATCCTCTGGGGATCATGAATATCTGCACCAATCCATGTCATTGTGGTCAAGATATTTCAGTTTCGTAAAACAATGGACCAACACTGTCATCTACACTGGCAGTGTGGGTAAACATGAGCTGCACAGAGCGAGTGAGGATGATGCACTGTGTCAGAGTTGAACTGAGAAGGATTCAAATGATTCAACAATTTTATTGTCATATTCAGCAATGGCAAGTTGTCAGTGCAATACCATTCTTAGTTCTCTGTATCTCTGCCTCGTGCTGTGTTAATTCATTTATAGAATACTTTCATTCATACAAGAACAGTGTAGAAAGGTTCTGTACAGACAAAATGTATTTTTTTTTTAAAAATGTGCAAAAAAAGTTAAGATCTGCCTCCATGAACTGAGGTAGGTAATGTTGAATATACAAAGTACAGTGCAAGAAAAAGGTATGTGCAGAGGACATAGTGTAAGAAAAGTATGGCCAATGTTTTATGGTGTAAAGGTCGACATGCTACGTAAGCCGAGAGCGGTCGTTTTCCGCTATTGTTCTTTCTTCGCCGTTTTCTCGAGATAACGAGTTAATTTTCTCGTTATCTCGGGATAACAAGAATCGTTTTCTCGTGAAAACGAGATAATTGGTGTTTGTGTTTGCCCGCTCGTGCCCGGTCCAGGATGGAATCCCAGGTGTGTGGGACCTCCCACACACCTAGGATTCCATCCTCAGTCACCAGCGGGGGCCAGAGGACAGACGAGACCGGGCACGAGCGCTTCATTGTAAGTTGTCGTGCCCGGTCAGCTGTTCTCATGACAGGTCATGTCGGTGTTCCCGGTCAGCTGTCTATATAAGATATGTCACACCAGGAAGTCCGACAACTTCTGATGAAGGCTGAAGTGACAGCCGAAACTGTCAACGGGATAAATATCTCGTTATCTTGAGTAAACGAACGCCGTTTAAAAATGTGCGGCCATGACCGCTCTTGGCTTCCGTAACATGCACAAAAGAAAAATCCTTCATAATTCTGTCATAGGCAAAGTTATTTTAGGAGCTATCAAGACAGTTGCAAAAGACAGACTGCACCATAATCATAGCTCCTTCACTTTTGCTAAAGCAACATGAAGATGTCTTTAATCAACCTTCCCGCCTAAAAAATACATCTCAAATTCCACCACTCAACTTGTTTCCATCAACAACTTTAACTTTCAAAGCACATTCCTAGAAAATGCCAATGAAAGCTATTTTCTCAGACTTAGAAAAACTCTTCCAGAGCCAATCAGACATTATACAACTGTGTTTATAGACTGTAGTATTCCTCAGATTTGTTTATGTGTGAAAATGACAATAGATAGACACAAATTAAATGAGCAGTTCAATAAATTTCCTCATTAGATTGTCTTGTATGTCACCTTGTGTACCAACGATGGTCAATTTACAGTCAAAAAAGTTCTCTTAGCAGTTTTCTCCAGCACTTTGTGTACTTTGGGACACATGTCGCGCTTAGAAAATGTGACATTTAAAAGTGAGTTCTTAAAGATTTATTGAGTTCTTTCAGACTATGGTGTAAGTGCTCCACCACATTCACAGCTGGTCCGGAAAGACCTTAGGCTCCATTTGAGTAGTTTTTTCCACAATTAGACATTCTTGCCACAGCTGGCAATTGTGCTCAGTGCTGGGAGAAATAGTCGATACTGTGCCTGGTAACTCTGAATGTGACTATCAATCCCTGAAGAGGAAGCACGCTGTGAAGACTATATTACAAACTTTTAAAAATAGGTTGTCAGATTCAAACAGAGTTTCCCCCAAAAGCAAAATAACAGCTGGAAATGTGTTTGTATTTGATGCTTTTGTGGCTCCTATGTGAATATCTGCTGAAGAATTACATATTACAATTTTAATTTTATTAAAAATAATAACATATAAATTGCATTTAATACACCAATAATCCAAACAAAATACTAGAAAATTAGCATGTCTTGCATTTCTCTGTTTGGATTTAACCTTATTTGAGTGCAGAGTTCATCCTTTTTATTTGAATTATCCTTGTTTTTGTTTCATTTTAGTCATTAAAGACAAGTTCGACCTTTTTATTACTTCACAACAGCCACTACCTCAGGGACATTCGATCGGCGCAGTCGTCCACCAAGGTGTTGGCCTCACGATTTTAAAGAAAGTGATCAGGATCTGCAACAAATTGTAAAGGGTTATTCCTGGTGTATAATCAGTCCAGTTTGAAAAACACTTACTTAACACAGCCTATTCACTTTCCTGGAGTCTTCACTACCCATTAAGTTACTAGGCAACCAGCCAAAACTCCAGAAAGTTACTGACCCTGGCAAAGACATATTCTGGCACATAAGCCCCCCAGTGAATTGTTCTTTTGGGAGTCTTTAACCATCTATATCAGTTCCACTGATTAAAGCACTATATTATACTGGATTCAGATATATAATACATCAAATTATTTTGCGTGTTTCTAATGGGGAACATGTATAAGTGCTATGACAGCAATAAATGTATTTTAATTTGGCTCAGCATATTTAGTTAGTTCGTCATTTCTATTGAATTAGGTAGGTTCATTCTGAATTCTTTTATTCTGGCAGAGGGGAAAAGATGAAGCAAAAATTTAAAAAAATAGTGAAAAAGTAAATGAAGCTGCATCAATGTGATATCAAGAAACTACTGACATATTTTCTGCTTGATTTAAAAAATAAGTAAACAAAAAAACATGTTGTGATGCTCTGTCATCCGTCTTTCAGAATTGCCAGTCTGTCCAAAATTTTCCCGACGCTGATGCTGTACAAACTGTGGGAGGATGGCAAGATTGGCTCCCTGGATGATCCTCTGGAGAAATACGTGGAGAACTTCACCATTAAAAACCCTCTAGGGAAGACTCGAGACTCAGAGCTGAAATATGTTACAGATGGCCTGATATTTCTGGACAGCGGCGAGGTTCAGATCCGCTCCTCCTCCGTCACCCTGCGCCGGATGGCCAGCCAGCTCTCAGGTACGCACATGCAGTAGATCACAATGAATCACCAAAACAATATCCTGGAAATCCAGACAGCTCTGTCTTGTTAGAGCCATCTGTTGTGACATGAGACACAACTTTGAGATCCAATTGATCAAAAACAGCACTGTATTTCCTTTAGTTCTTATCTATTCTTATCTCTTCAGCAGTCAGTTTTCTGTTAAAAAAAAAAAATTAAAAAAGCATCTGCTCTATGTACCAATTACCACAAAACTGCTGATTACAAACTGTGGATATGTTTTATTTACAATAATAGGCATGAATGTATGTAGGCATAGTTGTACCCTCATGAGCCAACTCAGCTTAAGGGTGAATGTTAAAGCAGAGACTTGAGCAAAATAAGTATAAAAGAGATTTTCTGGTACAGTTTTTACTTTGGCAGAATTTACAGAGATTAAATTTCTCTCTTTTAATTTATTCTTGTTAGAGCTGAAACAAGTAGTCCATTAACAGATGAATCAAACTAATCAGACAATCTGCCAATTTTTACATAATCAGTTAATCAGTTTGAAATACAAATTAGCATCTGAAGGTTCAGGCTTCTCATGCTAGAGAAATTCTTACTCCACCGTGTCTTAAACTAATGTAAATTGAAATCTTTAGATGTAAAACTGTTGGCTGGACAAAAGTTATTTGAAAGCTTTTGGCTTCAGGAAACTGCAATAGGATTTTCTGACATTTTTCAGGCACAAACAACAAATCAATTAATAGAGCGAGTAACATAGGGAGAGTAGAGAATGAATAATAATGAACACACAACAATAATGAACAGAACTGAAGCTGTTCATCGTCAGCACAAAGAAGTGCTGGTCATGCATAAACAAGCACCTATTTATCTGAAGAACTTTTCAGTTTGTAATGCTTCGGTTCGTGTTGTGAATTAAAATAAAAGATGAGAGAAACATCTGAAGCAAGGAGAATAACTGATTCTTCCGTGTCTCAGTTTGTCATCGAGGTATCAGAGCTGAAGATAATAATCATGCTCATAGAACAAACGTAACAACGATGAGTCTTAAATAGTGCAGAGACATTTTTGAGAAGGATGGAGAAAACTGAAAGATATGTCTAATGAATACAAATATAATTCACCTTTTGCTAATTATTTATTTATCACTGTTTTACTGTGGGCTGATCCAGGCCTGCCCAGGAGACTGCGGGCCACAAATCTGCTTTGGAAAGGGAAAACACAATCTGCAATCAATCTGCTACAAGACGACGTCCTTGTTGCAGATCCAGGCACCAAGTAAGATTCCCTTTGCTATGTTGACTTGATTGTTCTAATGTGTAAATTTGTACTGTTTACTGTTTTCTTACATTACTGGCATTTTAGGACCGCGTGTATCATAATGTGTCACATACAATTAATTAACAGTCAAAAAACATTACACAGTAGTCCATTACTGCCAGGTGTAATTAACTTAAAACACATCCCTTAAAGCTACTTTAATTTTACCTGAGGCGGTTGTAATTAAATGTCAAACTTAATTAGCTTCTTCTATACTTCAACTGCCTTTTCATTTTACACTGTCTGGCAAAATATCTAACCTTTAGGTGAATCCTTTCCTCAAAATAGTTTTTAATACCTCAAACACCACACCCTGCTTTGTATTAAACCTGCTGGGGAGCTGTCATGGGCAGCACGGTGATGCAGTGACCAGTACGGTAGCCTCACAGCTAGAAGGTCCTTGGTTTGAGTCTTTCTGTGTGATTCTAAAATCATCCATAGATGTGAACATGAGCGTGCTTGGTTTTCTGTATCTCTGTGGGCCCCTGTGATGAAGTAGCAACCTGTCCAGGGTATACCATGGGCTGTTCCTATAATGGGATAGGTTCTTCATTTCATAAAAACTCTCTCCGTCTCTTTGATTTGCTTCCTTCCAGATGTCACTACAGTAATCTTGCCTTCTCTTTGCTCGCTCATGTGATGGCGGAGCGAGTTGCTGGAGTCGAATACCAGAGATGGGTCACAGACAACATACTGGACCGGTTGGGGATGGAAGACACCGGCTTTGACCTCAGCCCAGGGCTGCAGACCCAGATGGCTGTGGGAGTGTACTCCAATGGAAAGCCAGCACCACTCTATGACCTGGGCTGGTACCGGCCTTCTGGTCAGATGTTCTCCACTGCTGCAGACTTGGCCAAGCTCGCCATGATGCTGCTGGGTGCTTATCACCGCAAGCTGCTGGAGCCAGACTCCTTAAAGATCATGCTGACGCCGCTCTTCAGGTGCGATAAGGATTACTTTGCCAACCGTACTGGGACACCATGGGAGGTGAATGAGCTATTGGGCTACGAGGTGGTGCGTAAAGATGGTGATCTGGATGGCTACTCTGCCACTTTTTCCCTGGTGCCCAGACTGAAGCTTGGCCTGGTGGTGCTCATGGCAGGCAGCCGGTCTCAAAACCAGGATGTGGTAACGAAAGCCTACAACTACATTGTCCCAGCCATAGAGAAAGCCTTCAGGGGCGCAAAGAAGGTTCTATGTGCTCCCCCAAACCCAGATCCTTACATCGGCTTTTTCACATACAGCAACATCACCTTCTATGAGATAAAAGTGGGGCCAGATGGAGTTCTGATCATGCAGCAGTTTGGCCCTCAGATTGAGGAGCTAATCCCAGAGAAGTACAGGACAATAAAGCTCAACTTCCTGGTTGAGCGAGTGTTCAGAGTGGTGTTCGAAAAAGAGTACCCGTGTGTTTTGCGAGTCGGCACGGCCTCTGTATCACTGGAAGCCCAAGATGGCCAATTGTTTAACTTCTACATGTTCAATAAGCAGGGGTTGTCCCCTGGTTTTGACGCACCAGGCCTGAACACGTATAATGTGGTCAGAATAGCCCGCAAGCCATCCTTCTCCAGCTGAACCGCAGCAATGCTGAGACAAAAAGACTGTGTGTCCTTGGTATTTATAAGGATGCTGTGAATATTGAAAGACTGACTGGAAAAGTTGGGGTCACTCTGGCAGAACCAGATTGGATTGTACTCTTGATTTACAGAGGGTGCAGAGAAGGACAGCATTAAATTCACCCCGCAGTATAATGTCTTTTATAGAAAAATAATTAATTTTTCTGCTGAATGATTTATCGGAATGTTCTCCTCACACTGGTCCTTCATTACGCCTCTGAACTTAACATTCACATTGTAGTGATATGGTGCTTGTGTTTCTCCTGCCTTCATTTAAATCACTCTCAGACAGTCGTGAGTCTTTCAGTTCTTGGTTTTTCATCAGACAGAACAGCAGAGTGGCTCCTGTTGTGGTCATTTCCATGAATATTTACATATATTTTAATCTCATTTCTTGAACTGTGATTGCAGTTGGACAGAGTACTTGGCTCATAAATATTCATCTTTCACTGGGATAAAAAAAAAAAGATTACATTTCTTTGTGTTTCTCTACTTGCGGCAGGTAACGTCAAGGCGTTGTCATGGCAAATATCACCTATTAAATGGAACCAATGTTTTAAAGTCAACAGTCTCGCACTCACGTGTGTCTAAAATGCAAATTGATTTGGGCTCCACAATAAGAGGCTATTAGGAGCAGGAAGCCTTCCTGCCTGTATGACTTTTTGCTGTATAACCCCTAAAAACAAACTCATTCATCCTGACCTCAAGCAACAATATCAATTATACACTCTGACTGCTGCAGGAAAATGACACATTTACAAAACAAAAATAACCCTCATAATCAGACGCTGATGTTTTACCTTTTATACTAGACAGCTGCTTGGAGATGCTATGGAAATGGATAAGGTACTAAAAACGTTTCCAGGATCCAGTGTGGCGGCTGAAATCGAGGGAATGCAGAGCTGCCGACTATATCCACTTCATCCAGCTATGGATTAAATATCGAAGCTGGCATTTTGCTATGCAATGCAATGTTGTCACAATCGACAGATTAAAGCTTATTCTGATGGCTGGTGGAGAGGGAAAAAAAAAAACATTTGACTCATGCAGTGCGCTAAGCCATACTGGAACAAAACATGCAAATTGTACCACGCGTCGGTTCTCCGCTATTGTGGATTCTTGTTATTTGGGTAAGGTGTCAGATGAGGTTTAAGCAGCCTGAACAAAAGGAATGATCACAAAATGCATTCATGACAACGAATAATACTCTTCAGCATTATGACACTTTCACATCATCAAAGTAACGCAACTTTAATCAAAAGTTACCAGGCAACAACAGAGGTCAAAACATAAAAGCCACATACGGACAGCTCAACATTTATTTGTGTACTTTTTAAATTAGGCTTTGCACAACAGCAATAATCAATTTTCATCTTTGCAATCACAGGGAACAAGAGCTTACCAGTCATTCAAATCATGTACATGATGGCTGGCCATGCAACAAGAGACCAAACAAGATTAGGACGAGCTCACGGCAAAGCATTACATTCTTTGTTAACAAGTTCCACTGAAACACAGAGAAATATGTTCCTTTTGCTGCAGGGCAACACATTGATTTTTTTAAATAAGAAAAAAAAATGATCAAGTACAACAATATTATCATTCGGATCAGATTTGCTTGTTCCACTTCCCCAATGGATTCACCCTGTAAGGCATGGGGCAGTTTACACAATAAGACGGCAGGTGGGATATGCAGGCACTGTTGAACAATATTACCCATAGCAACGAAAGAATTAAAAAAAAAAAAAAAAGTCAAAATTTCCATACAAGCTCTTTAATGACACGTAATAAGTAAGAGAACAGTTCAACATTTTGGGAATTATGCTTATTCACTTCCTTTGCAAGAGTTATATGACACTTAATAGTAAGTGTAGCTTAGCCTAAAGACTGTGAATATAAGGGAAGAGCAAGCCTTGCTCTGCCCAAAGGTGAAAAAAATGCCTATGAGCACCCTTAAAGCTTTGGTAATAAATAATATTTTGTGTGTTTAATCTATGTAATGAAGTATAAAAACTTCAAGTTGTAGTTTTACTGAAGGAGACCTGTAAAAACTGTAATTCGTCCTGGCTCTGACTTTCGCCTTTTTCAGTTCAAGCACATGCAAATAATGCATTAAAGCTGAAGTAGGCAGTTTTTGGGCATCATTAGCCAAAATTCTGCACTAACCTTTCAGCATAATGTTATTCAAGTGGTCTGACAGGAAACTAGACTACTGCACCTCCTACTGGCTCCACTAGGCTGGTTTTCAGGCTTTAGAAAAGCTACCGTCGGGTCTCTCAGCAATCCCCTGAGACAGCATGAATAGCATCAGTGTCTGCACTTATGGTGGCATAGCAGGTCAGATGGTGGACCTTCACTTTGGAGGTGAGGTTTGAGGTCAGTGTTTACTTTTCATTTGAAATGTGTGTTCATGTGGTGGGATGGGCATAGAAAAAAAAAGGACAAAAATACATTTGGCATTTTTTGCTTTCTCCAGATTTTTGCCTCCGACAGCTCTAATAAGAGAGGTGAAGACATGCAGGTAAGCCACTTTTGTTGCCTTTGGACAGACTAAGGCTGTACGCAAAATATGTACTATTTCATGCAGTATGTATGTGAGGGATGCTACTTAGTCATAGTATCACACCTTAAGCTTTGACTGTCTTGCTCATGTACCCCAAGCTTCTACTTGTTTATATGTTAGGCAAGACACTGTTGTATGTTTTTGCAGTGGATTATGAGAAAAGCATGCTGACTTTCAAACTGCAAAAGCGACAGCATGTAGTAGGACACCCTTGTTTTTTTGGTACACTATCCATAGCAGCATACTAAATATTTTTCTGGTATGCTGTATGGTATAGTCGTATAGGTATTGGAATGAACCCCAACTGTCTCTCTCTGTTTCCAGTCTTTATGCTAAGCTAAGCTAGCTGTCTCATGGCAGCAGCTTGATGTTTCTCCATAAAAATGGCAGCCTGTTTGTAGGAAAGCAAATAAATATCCATCCCAAAATGTCGACCTGTTACTTTAAAGTGGTTCTGCTTCAGCTGCTTCGTAGCTTATTTAGATCCAGTCTCAGAACACAGAGGTCTGGCAGGTCGTCTCGCAGGCACACGTGAGCGCTGCCGTGTCCATACTCAGTGTCAATTTAGGAGACAGCAACGGTATGAAAGAACTGGAATCTTTACCCTCGGCCTGAGCTCTGGAACTCGAGATAGAGGGTTCCAGTAAAATCTTAGGGAAAGGCGGGGAGTCTTTGACAGAGCTGTTGTCTTCAACGTGGGAGCACACGAGCTCCCGGAAACACTCCCTGAATCGAGTGGAAAGCAGGCTGTAGATGATAGGGTTGACTGCAGAGCTGAGGTAGAAGAAGACGCCTGACAGGATGTGGACATACTGATAAATGTTGTGCATCAAGTCGGTCCACTGGCTGATAGAACTCCACAGGAGTCGCTCGATGTGGAAGGGCGCCCAGCAGACTCCAAACACTGCCACCACGATCGCTGGAAGTCAGAGAGAAAACGTGTTTATAGATTCCATTTCTTGGTTAAAGTTTGCGAAAATTAAAAACTGGTTCCCAAACTTTTTACCCAACTGTTTAAGACTCAATGGGGTCAAATTATGCATTGTTTTCTATTCTTTCCGACCCCATTCATCATCTCACAACGAGCCTGACACCTAATTTGGTAACCACTAAGAGAAACTACCTAAAATTACCGTAAATTCTGGACTATAAGCCGCTACTTTTTTCACACACTTTGAACGCTGCAGCTTAAACAAC